AGCTGAACCGCAGTTGATGAAGTACTTTTCAGGTAAAACATAATCCGAGGCCAAAGAGAAAATAGAAGAAAAGTGAAAGGGAAACAGAAAAAAAAGATAGATAGAAATCTTGTGGAACAGAAATTTTTCCATAGTTAATCTCACTGATGGAGAATTATTGTTTACTGATATGATATAATTGGTGTGCAGGGATGAATAAATGAATTATTGAATGATAATAAGACACTGCAAGTAAGAACATGGGTGTGAGGCGAAGTTGACTTGACGCTGACTTGTAGTTGCTTGTTTCTTTTTGTTTAATTTTTGATTCCAAAATGAGAATAATTGAGGATTTTTTTGTTTTTTGTTTAAAAAAAAAATTTAATGGCAGAAAACTCCCCCAAAAACGTTTAAATTTCTAATTTCCCCTCTATCTATTGAAAATTACAAAAAACCCCCATATTTGAAACTTTTTGTACAAAAAACCCTCCGTCGTCAACATTCGTCAGATTTTCCGTTAAAAATAGTAAAAAATGTCAAAATTGACAAGAAATAATTTCAATTTCAATTTCAATTTCAATCCCAAAACTTTTACTTTTCACAACTTGAATCCAAATGTTTTATATGTGCCACCCACAATTCTGAATCTTTAAAACTTTATTTTTTACCCTATCCTAACCCATCCTACTCTACTTCATCTTCTTCCCCAAAAATAAATTTTTTTTTATTTTTCACATAAAAACCAATTAAATTAAAATAATTCATTAAACCAAAAATAAAAAATAAAAATTTCTTCTTCTTCTTCCCATCCCCCCATCCCCAACGATAGATTTCCAAATTACTCATTGGTCAACCAATTTTTTCATAAAAACGTAAAATGTCAATATTACCCTTAAGAAATGAGTTTTTATTGCAAAACATGTCCTCAAGTTTTTAGAATAGTTTTAGAAACTAGTTTTATTTTATGTTCGAACTATTTTATTCGTCTTCACAAGATATTTTTTCTTCAAAAATTTCTTCAT